CTTTGCATTTTATTTATATAACCAATGACTGATGATTGGTTATGAGTATTTACATACTGCTATTTAATACAATTTTCAGGATAGCTTGGTTTTTGCTACTGGCTTTGCAGCTTATTGCTGCCATTTCTTGTCAACCTACAAAAAATAAAAATCTCTTGACATGCCGTTCAAAATAACCAACACCATCCATGTCCAGAACATGAATCTCAAGTTCTGAAAGCTGGGACCTGGAAAACTTATTACACCTGAAGAGCTAATCCTAGGAAAGCAAGTTGCACTGAAACCAAGTTTCTTCCGAGTAAATACTATTTTAGTTAAGAAAAAATAGTCTTATGCTCAGGCTTCAACCCCTACCCCAGAATGCATCCACCGAGTTATAATCCAACATTTTAAACTTGGTCATAGAAGCTGGTTTAAAGTGTGCTGCAGTCGAAATTAAGCTAAGAACAGGCACTGAAATCAATGGGACTTAAGAATGCTTAGTTTTGGCTGGATCATGCCCCAGCTTGGCACTATACACTTGGCTCAGTCATTGTAGACTCAGATCTATGTATGGGCTGTCAATTTTACCATTTTTTCCTATGTTTCTCAACTTTATTCCCACAAGGAATATGTTTTGAATAATGCTTGTATTATGGACCATAAACAGCAATGCCATCAATGTTAGCTACTCCTGCGGTCCATAAAAACCCGTTGACATTAGGGTCCAAATATGGGAAAAAATACAAATGTTTTATCACTTCAAAAGGGGTTCCTCTTTTTAGATGGAGAGTGAGGAGGAAGTGAAACTTCTCAAGATCTAACCAGCACACAGTAGGTTCTCCAGCAAAATTTGCAGAACCTTTCGTCTAGAAACAAATTGTTTATTATAGTACTGTATGTGTGAAGATCTGCAGGGGATCACTTTGGGCAGACTGGCTTCTAACAAAATGCCTCAACCTTCCCCCACAGGCACCAGGGCTGCTGCCACTCAGACAGCTCAGCTCAAAAATGGGTGAGCACTGCTACCACCAAGACCTAATAAAGGGCTCTTGGAGCTCTTGAGCTTAAACAGTCTACAGCAGGGGAAGAGGGTGGAGAAGGACTGGCTTGCTGGAGAAGGAAAGGGAGGAGCAGAGGCCTGAAGGACCTCTATTTCCCCACCAGCAGGGAGGTATAGGAAGCCCCGACAAGCCACTTCCCTAGTCCTCTCCAGGTTCTATTTAAAATAACAGAGAAGATAAACATGGGTGGGCAGAATCATACAATTTGGTAATGGCCACAAAATTTAGCATCCCCCCAAATCAGCTTTGCTATCTATCTATCTATCTATCTATCTATCTATCTATCTATCTATCTATCCACATATTGCATCAATATTTTAAGAGCTACAAATTCCAAGAAAAAACTGTTGATGTTCAAACAGACCAAACCACCACCATACCAAAGCAGTACACTTCCCCCCTCTAAAAGGATGTAAAGGTAAAGGTAAAGGTACCCCTGCCTGTAAGGGCCAGTCTTGCCAGACTCTGGGGTTGTGCGCCCATCTCACTCAAGAGGCCGGGGGCCAGCGCTGTCCGAAGACACTTCCGGGTCACGTGGCCAGCGTGACATCGCTGCTCTGGCGAGCCAGAGCCGCACACGGAAAGGATGTAGAGTCATACATAAAAGTTTAGTCATTAGTTGAAGAACTTGAGCATTATGGAGAAAGCAGATCCTTGCACAATATGGTAGAAGACTCATCGCAAAGCTGCCCAGCTGGATTCCTGTTAGCACGTGATATGAATGGGAGCCAGTGTTCAATAAAGTGATCCTTCTCTGTCACACCATACAGTACATGAAATTGCTGTTTATGTTTGCCCGTGAAACCTGACCTCCACGTTCTTTGTACCATTGAAAAATATATAGAGAGTTCATATTTTTCCAAATCCTTGGAGATGGTCAGACTAGCTGCTAATAAACAGATTAATGAGATTAAGTCTTCCTAATTGTCAGAAATGCCCAGAAGTGCTATGCATGGATCATATCTCAGTTCATGGGCAATCCTATTTTTTCCCCCAGTGACATTATGTTTGCACACATGAGTCATCTTTTCTAAAAGCAAGTTTCTAGACCTTATGGGGATAAAAAATAGGCTTAAAGATGTGTGGGGAATGCCTAATAAAAATCTCAGATGCAATGGAGGTCTAAAATGAATTTCCTGAGGTCAGGAGGTTTCTGCTTAAGTGCCTTGCATAGTTCCTACAACTTTTCACAACTAATAGAAGCAGAATAAATTATGCAATGTGTGTGTGAGTGTGTGTGTGCGCGTGCGTGCGTGTGATATATATATATATCACATATACACATATACTCACACAGTTAATTTGCATTGTTGATTATATTTATGTAGGTCAGATCTAACTTATTGAGTACACATCCATCTAACTATAATTTTTCCGTACTGAGAAAATCTACTGCTATCTGACATTTGTCAAGCTGATTGTTCACAAGAATTCAATAATACCAACAGCTGTTCATGTTAGCAAATTCACCTCCATTCAAATGACAGTCCGGCAGTCAGCCATACATGAGTTTTCCCAAGGTTCTCTTTTTGTCCTCAGAATGCTAGAGATTATAGGTACTATTTTTAAAACACTGGCTATTCCTGGCAACACAATATAGTTGGTTTCAGAGCAGCACAGAACAGTATACCCATTTGTTGACAACTGGTACATATTTAGCTATGGATACAAGAGAGATGATGTACTTTTCCCTCTTTAGAGATAATTAAGTGAGGAGCAAGCAAACCATGTACCTTTCCTGTATATCCTTTTGTTTATCCTGAATTGATTTAAATTAGTCAAATCAACTGAACCAGTTTCATGTGGAAAAGCATCCTAAATTTGGGTGGGATGGGAGAACAATGTATGCGATATTACTATTTCAAGTAGCTGGGCTTAATACAAACATGCTCACCCCTTTGATGACTTCCACTGTGTTTCATCACAAATATAGAAATCACCACAGGCAGGTTCCTATCCTTTTTATCATCTCAAAATACAATTTCCACTAGAGTAAGTGTGTAAGGGAGCAGTCCTAAATATGGGAAACCAGCATAAATGATTCCAACTTAAATTAAGTTGTCGTAAAATATCCCAGATTCAAACTCCATTCAGCAGCTGGGCTGTTGATGGCTGAGCCAGCCTAAGCCTGGAAAAAGGGAAAACAAGCCCTTTGAAATAGAGTTTGAGTTCCAGCACCATTCTTGTTGGCTTAACACACATCAAGTAATATGACTGAGCTGAATAAACTTAGGATCCAGCCTAGGTCCTGTCCCCCCTCCCCCCGCAGCTCTGCCTAGGAATGTCCCTTTTTAAGGGATAATGGCATCTTAAAGATCCACCCAGTTTAGCTCAGCCACCTAGTTCCCAGCTGAGATCCTAGCTCAGCTCAACTAGATCCCAGATCTAATTTTAGGATTGTGCCCTTAGTCTGTTGCATCAAAACCCTCAGTGAGCCTTGTGGCATCTTAACAAATGTATGAGGTTACCACCTTTCATGAGGTATAGTCCAAGTCATCAGATGTACAGTGATCCAGTGCAAGGAAATCAAGTGATGTACATGTGTTTTATGAGCAAGACCTAATGTTTCAGATATCACACACCAACGGTAGTTAATTCCTGTTCTCCAGCCCTATGCAGTCAGTCTCTGGCTGAGTAGGAAGCACTCTACTACCTAGAGAGGTGTGTTAGCTAAATACCCTGGTAGTGGCACCTAGAAGACAGGTCTACCACGGATACAGTAGATGCCCTTAACTACAGCCAGAAAGTAAAGAACTATGACAAACTCCAGAGAAATCACTACATTCAGTTTGTAACTGGGGAAAACAAACATGTGACTTGGTATGGCACTTCAGAGGCCAACAAGTGGATTGTGGTGAAGGTTTCCAAAGGCAACCAAGCCAGCCTAGTTATCAGAAGCAAAAAGCAGGCTGAGGAGATGGTAAGAATATAGTGAGGCTAGGAGGGAATAAACATCACTGAGAGCCAGGTGAGGCTTGGATCTGGGAGATCATTTGGTCCCAAACCCACTGCTATCTATCACTGGTTGGCCTTGGCAAGGGCTCTATTTCTTCTTTCAGCCTCAGTTTTCACATCTGTAAAATGGGGCTAATGGTACAGCCGCTCACTTCATAGAGTCGGGATGGTGAGCATAAGGAAAGGCTTACAGCGTTTTGCAAATGAAAACCGATAAAGAATAGTAGTTAGACGGCAAGAGGAGGACTACAGAAAAGATCACAGCTGGACAGCTGTCGGGAAGAAAATATATAGCCCGGTCGTTCGCTGGAGAATCGCGATAGGGGGTGGGGGGATGCCCGAATAATGAACAAGAACTGTAGCACTTTGCTTAAGTGCCGCTCGCGACCAAGGGGACCCGACTGCTGGGGGAGGACGGAGAGCGAAGAGGAGAGCAAGAAATGCAACGCCAAGTTAGGGAAGCTCAATAATGCCCCGGACTGGAGAAGAGCTGCTTTTCAACCCAGCCTAGATGGCTCTAAGCAGGGAGACACCTCCCTTCCCCCACCCCGTCCCTTCCGGGACTGCGGAAGACGCGCTCGGGACTCGGGATCCCCTGCGAGCCGAAAGCGCGCCCAGCGCAGCCCCGGAGCCAATCCCGACTAGCCCCCCAGGCCACCCCGCTTTCGGGCTGCTGCGCATCCTTCCCCGGGCGGGCAGCATCCCCGGCCGAGGCAGGAAGGTGTCCGGGGCCGGCCGAGCGCTCCGGCAGCCGGACCCGGCGCGTGAGAGAAGCCGGCCAGGATGCGGCTCTTGCGGCACCAAGCAGCGCCCGCCCAGCAGCGCCTCCCGCCCGTCTGCGCTGCCTCCTTCCGCGAGGGACTCCCCGGAGACGGAGTTCCCTCGGAAACCCCGAGGCGGGCGGGAGGGCGGGCGGTGGGATCTCCTCCCTCGGCCGCCCCGCCACCTCGGCGCGCCCCTGTCGCGGGAAGAGGAGGAAGAGGCCTCTGCGGATGCACCTACCCGGGCGGCGGGGAGGGAGGTGGGCGAGGAGGCCCCGGCGCAGGTGCTTGGCGGCGATCCGGGACGCGGCTGGGCTGGGCTCAGCTCCGCCTCTCCGCGCTCGCCTCCATGGAAGCGTCGCGGCGCCGGCTGCTCTTCCTCCTCTTCCTCCGGCTGCGCCGGCTGCTTGTGCCGCCGCCGCCGCGGCAGCTGCAGACCCAGTGTGCCAGCGAAGAGGGACCCATAGCGCGGCTGCGGGGCCCGACTGCACATGCTCCCTCTCCTGCCCCCGCCCCCTCGCTTAACCCTTCCGCCGCCACGCCCGCAAGAGGAAGGAGCGCGGCGCGGGGGGAGGGAAGGCGGCCGGGCGCCTCCGCCGCCGGGGCTCCTTCGCGGGCGGGGCCCGGCTCTCTTCCGCCGCCCGAAAGCGCCCCCGCCGCTCCGGCCCACTCCTTCGCCGCCGCTGCCCGGATTGGCTTGGCGAGGCGCAGCCCGCGAAGGGTTACTTCTTCTCCTTCGGGTCCTTTGTCAGCTACATCCGCTTGCTTTGAATAATTTACCCGGCAGATTTGCAGGCGGCGCGTTCCTTCCGTCCGGCAACCGGCAAGAGGCCCAGAATCCCCGGGAGTCCCGAGGCCAGAGGATGGGCCTGGAAGTGACCCGCCTAGGAGTCAACCTTGCCAAGGCTTACGGTGCGCCAGATCCGGCGTGGTGACTGGAGACGATGCGGGAAGGGAGACGAATCCTCCCTTTGCCAACATGCCCCGGAGCTGCCTGCCATCTATCCTGTTCTCATAGTGACCCAGGGATGTATGGGATGAATACATGCATTACCTGGTACCTCCCCACCTGCTGCTGCTAGGAGTCCTGGGGGATAAGGCTATCTATGGCTACTGGAGAGGGAGGAATTTGGCATGGACATAACCAGGATTTTTGTTGGGGGAGGGCAAGCTTTTGTTAGGGGGGAACAGAAACTCAGATTTGTATTGATTTTAGATTTTTATTGATTATGGGGGCAGCTGCCCCCTTTGCCCCCTCCCTTGCTACACCCATGGGCTTTGGTCATCTTTGGTAATACGTGCCCTGACCGAGGCCAAAATGGATCTTCTCAGTTATGGCTCTTCTCAGTTTTGCCCCCTTCATTTCGGCACGTTTCGGTTTCTTATGAAAGGGGAGAGGGAGTCAGAGTGAACCCCGACCAAAGGCCTGGCAGAACAGCTCCGTCTTGCAGGCCCTGCGGAAAGATGTCAAGTCCCGCAGCGCCCTCGTCTCTGCCAGACCCTTGATCATCTTGGCTGCCGTCCTCTGCACATGTTCCAGGTTGCCCGTGTCCTCCTTAAACTGTAGTGCCCAGAACTGGACACAGTACTCCAGGTGTGATCTGATTAAGGCAGAATAGAGAGGTACTATTACTTCCCATGATTTCTGTTGATGCAGCCTAGAATAGCATTAGCCTTTTTTGTTGCAGTATCACACTGTTGACTCACGTTAAGCTTGTAGTCTACAAAGATCCATAGATCATTTTCACATATACTTCTGGCAAGGCAGGTGTTCCCCATCTTATATTAGTGCAGCTGGTTCTCCCTGCCTAAGTGCAGAACCTTATATTTGCCCTTACTGAAATGCATTTTGTTAGGTTGGGCTCAGTTCTCCAATCTGTTAAGGTTATCTTGAATCCCGATTCTGGCTTCTGCTGCATTAGGTACCCCTCCCAGTTTGGCATCATCTGCACATTTGATAAGCACCCCCTCAGTTCCTTCATTCAAGTTGTTTCAGTAGGATTTGGGTAGAGAATTCCATGGGTGCCTGCACCACAAGTAATTTACTCTTAGAAAAGTATTTGGCTGTTTAAAGGAAATATTACCTTCACTCCAGGCCATCTGTTTTGCTGAACTGACACTCTTGTGCTATACCCTTTGCTGCAACTAAAACCCAGCTATTCAAGTTCTGAAAAATGTTGCCCAGTTACTCCAATATGAAATTATGTGTAAATGAGTTTGCAGTTGTTGATTAGCAGCTGCTGTGTTCTGTTTTGTAGGTGACTGACCAGTCTGAACTAGAAATTGACCACTGTAATCTCTCTGTTCCAGCTTCTTGAAATTAGAGATAGAAAGCATCCCCAGTGCCATGTCACATCAACATGTCATAAAGAAGAGTTCTAATCTCCAATCTTTTTCTTAGCTAAGTATCATGGACCAAGTGGTAGGTCTTTGCTTAAAAGGAATGATTATATACATTTCATATTTTAATCACTTATGTGTTGACAGTAGAGTGGTTTTGCAGTCACACAGAAACCTTGCACAAAGAAAACTAGATGTCATTGAATCTAACCTAGACTTCTCACTGACATTTACCTTTCTATTTCAAGGACTTAAAAAAAATAAAAATAAACAAAAGAACATTTGGTCATATGAGTGCCTGCCTGCAACGGTACAGTCCAGGACCAGATTTTCAACCTCATCTGCTGTTTGTGCACTCTAGATGCTTGTTTCCCTTCATAATCAAAAGAGCTTGCAGCTCTTTGTAGCTGGGTAGGATGAGCATATGTGCACTGTAGTTGTTATAACAAATGCAATGTAAACACAGGGCAATGCTGTGGTGGCTGTGCTCCTGAATCAATTCTGTGAAAATATGGGGAGGTGTCTGCTTGTTCTCCTGTTTAAGGGCAAGGCCTGCAGGGAGATGCCACTCAGAGGACAGGCAGAGCAGCAGAACATACTGCCAGTCTAAAACGGAACAAGGAGGTTCTCATTTAGTGGGAAGCTGGTATGAGTCAGTTACTATCCCAAGAGCAAGTCATCAGGACCAAGGACAGATCATGGAGCAACTGGAGCAAGCTACAATAACCTTAAATATAGGTCCATGTCTGGTCAGTAGTTTATAGAGGGATGAACACTGTTACAGGGAGGTGTGTGGCCTTTGATGCTCCTTCCTGGAGACTATCAGCTCTCTGTTAATCCTCTGGTCCTGACTAGTGCACTAGTCCCATATTTCTTGGGAATGTGGCGGCGAAGAAAGCTCTCATCCTTGGGAATTGGGTGGCTAAGAAGGAATCTCTGAAATAGAGTTGCTGGTATTTGAGGGTAAAGGAAGGGACATTCACAGGAACTAGGGTCACACTTACACCATAAAGTTAAAGCACATGGCTACTCCCAAAGTGTTCTAGGAACTGTAGTTTGCCCCTCACAGAGCTACAGTTCCCAGCACCCTTAACTACCAGTCCTAGGTTTCTTAGGAGGAAGCTGTGTGCTTTAAATGTTTCCTAAATGCATGATGTGGATGTGACCTAGGGGTGGGGTGCCTCTCTTTCATCGCTTGGGGGTGATCTCCACAGAGGAAGGGCTGCTTCCTGCGACAGTCCAGTGAGGGCTCTGTAGAAGTCTCAAGGCCTTCAGTTTGCTAAGATGTTTGTGATCAAGAGGTTCCCAAATACAAGTCCTGAGCTTATGGCAGTTGCCTGGAATTGTTTGTTACTCTTTATGGGAATGTCAGAATGAAAGGCTGTGATATTGTTTTGTTCTCCATAGGAACATAGGAAGCTGTCTTCTACTGAGTCAGACCATGGGCCCATCTAGTCTGGTATTTTCCATACAGACTGTGGGTGGCTCTTCAGGATTTTAGACAGGAGTATCTCCCAGCCCTATCTGGAAATGCCAGTGATTAAACCAAGGACCTTTCATGTGCGAAGCATGTGCTGTGCCACTGAGCTATGGCCCTTCCACACTTTCCCTTCTCGGAGCAGCAGAAAATTCAGGGCAATTTTTTCTAGCAGAAACTTCCCACAAAGGCAAAACTGGAGATGTATCATGTCTTTGTGAAACTTTTTAATATACAGAATATCAGACTGTACAGGATTGGTAAGGAGGAAATGCAAACTTTGTTTCTTTAAGAGTCCAACAAGCTCAGGGCATTCAGTTCTGCTTATGACAATTTCCTCCTTACAGTGTTCAACAGGGGAAAAGTTTGAAATGTTTCCCCTTTTGTATGTCTAAGGCATCCATGTGGTTGATCAAGCAAACAGGTCTAGAAGAAAGACTCCACGATTCAGTGAAATGGTGCAGCCACATCTGGTTTTGGGAAGAAGGGGGAGTCTAAACACTGTGGCAGTCAGTACACTATATTGCTGGTCACATGACCTTGTGACAGCCTTTCTCATCCTAGTGCCCTTCTGTGGCTCCCACCAGTCATGCTGACTAGAGCTGGTGGAAGTTGTTTTCCAAATCATCTGGATAGCACTAGGCGAGGAAAGCCTTCCTTATGGTTTAATGGCTCTGCAGATCTATAAGAAGAAGAAGAAGAATATTATATTACTTATACCCCACCCATCTGGCCGGGGCTCCCCAGCCACTCTAGGCGGCTTCCAACATATTAAAAACACAATAAAATATCAAACATTAAAAACTTCCCTAAACAGGGCTGCCTTCAGATGTCTTCTAAAAGTCAGATAGTTGTTTATTTCTTTGCCATCTAGTGAGAGGGTGTTCCACAGGGTGGGCGCCACTACTAAGAAGGCCCTCTGCCTGGTTCCCTGTAACCTCATTTATCGCAGTGAGGGAACTGCCAGAAGGCCCTCGGAGCTGGACCTCAATGTCCAGGCTGAACGATGGGGGTGGAGATGCTCCTTCAGGTATACTGTCTTCTTCAAGCAAATATATTCTCTGAGAATATCATTCACTTCATTTGATGAATTCAGATGATGGTGCTATTACCTCTGGGTTTCAATCTGTTACAACACTTAACTGTAATCTCTCTGGCTCTCTAGAACCAAAGGCTAATGAAGTCTTCTCTCTGGTGACTCCCAGAATGACAGGTCTAGAGCAGAAATGAATTTACTTCATTAGGAAGTAAATGTAGGAGTCCAGCTTCTGTTCCAGTTCATACATGAGACTTTCTCTAGAAGATATGAAACTGCTTGTGACATTTTAAAACATGAATAAGTTTTTACAGCACATACGAAATAGGTCTTGATCTCTGAAGATTTTCCAGCTATTCAAATCAGTCTGTTTTGTGGTTTTTCCTTATGGCAGTCCTTTCAGGAGGACATCCTTCTCCCTTTTAAAATGGATTTGGGGGGACGGTGTTGGGTTGTTTTTATTTTGATTATGTATTTTGTGGTTTTATATTTTGATTTTATTCTGTGAACCGTCCTGAGACCTCTAGGTATAGGACAGTATATAAATTCATTCAATCAATATCCATTGTGTCGATGCTGGGATATCAGCTTGTCAGGGCTGCAGTAGCCTGTGATTCAGCTTTGGGGAATATGAGGCATCTAAGTGAAATAATCATGGAAATATGAGAAAATCTGTTGCTCTCTTCACAGAATACCTTTAGGCATTAGCAAAGAAAGGCAACCCATTAACACCTGTTGGTTCTGTGGCCTCACAAAGGTAAAAGTGTTTTTTGGATAACATACTGCTGCAGCAGGATCATCTGAGCTTCCCTTTTTGAAGACTTGATTATTTATTCAAATGTATGAGGTCTTACTTAGTTTTGGGAATATACATTATTAATAAAGAAATTTCATGTTTAAAAAAACGCCTTCCAGCTATTCACAATTAGCAGCTTCCATGAATGTTTCATAAAACCAAAGCATTATAAAAGATAAAAGCAACAATATGAGACAGAATTTTATGTTGCCTCATTATCATCACCAATAATAATAAAAATAGCAGCAGAAAAACAACAGCAATAAATAACAGCATCTAACTCAGGTTTCCTCAACCTCAGCCCTCCAGATGTTTTGAGACTACAATTCCCATCATCCCTGACCACTGGTCCTGCTAGCTAGGGTTCGTGGGAGTTGTAGGCCAAAAACATCTGGAGGGCCGAGGTTGAGGAAGCCTGATCTAACTCAATACAGTATCTTACTTATTTCCTTACCTACGTAAGGACTAACATGCAAGGTTGTCTTTGAATCGTACCTGATCTTACCAGGTTAATATGCAGCTGCTAGGTAGGTTCATCAGAGCTAGGGCAACTGGTCTCAGCAAGAGTCATAATTAACCAGGCAAGCAGAATTGGCACAAGAAAGGGCCACGGCGATAGGAAAATTTTGGGGTATGGTCAAGAAGCCCCAGGGGATGTTATTAACGGCAAGCCACAGTCCATAACTGAACTGTGGACTCCACAAGTGAAATGTAAACTGTCCTCCCAGCAGCTGTTTCCTGTTTCCTTT